TTAATTAAATAAAATATTTTAAATTTAAATAATAGGATATGAGTGTGTAATTGGTTAAGCAATGAGAAGCAGAAAAAGAATTGTTTTCCACTTTACAACTTAAAATAAAAAATTTATAACTTTAAAATGAGCTGTAATTATTTAATCCAATTTATTTGTAAGGAGTAGGAATTTTTTAAAATCGGTTTCATCATCAATCTTGACTGAGTCTTTCATCAGATATGGATCCAAGATAAGGGAATACTAGTCAAACTTAAAAAGTCGTTCTAATTTTCTGTTCCAAGGCAGAAAATGACACACAAAAGTCCTTTTTTTAAAAAAAATTTACATTAAATTATATAATTAAAAATAATTTTTTATTTTTTAATTATTTTATTTAAATTTTTAATTAAAAAATTATCATTAAATTACTTATATAATTAGTAAAAAAAATTTAGAATTAATAGTTTTAAAATCCAAAGTTTGGCAAGGAAAAAAAAAACGGTCCCAAATTAAAAACCAATTAAGCTACTACTATATATAATAGTATGCACCAAAATTTGGCATAAAGTTTCAAAATGCGAATATCTAATCTCATCAAATCAATATCCGAAATTAATATCGAAGTCAAAGTCGTCGCATAGCTTTCATGTCCAGCTGTATCCAAACAACTTTATTTCTTACTAATAAGTACTTATGTATATAATCCAACGCACATTCATATTGATGTAGACAAAACATTATCCAAACAAACTTTATTCATAGCAAAGGACAGATGGCTCGATCAAGCCTCATCTGTTCATGCCTCAGTGATACTTTTGATCATCTCTAGAGGGAAATGTGGTGACCCGAGTGGACAGAACACAACCCTATAGTTGGTGGTGCCACTACGGCAGGTAAACGTGCTTGAAGGGTCATCTTGAGGATAACTGTAAGAATCATGACATCTATCCTTGAAAAACCTAGAATACCCGGTCGGTCCACATGATCCTTGCCCTTGAGTGCAACAGTATTCATTAGTCTTGAACACTGTACATGGGTTGTTGCACCCACCCGGAGCTCTAAGTACGTTAGGACACTGCCCGTTTATGTCGGCGGTGCACCTGATTGTATGACAACCTCCGTTGGTGGGAGCAAAGTCCATGGGGATATTGAACCCGTCCACCAGGGATATGTCGTAAAAATCCATGTTTCCAAATTGATTCAAGGCATATTCGGCTAGGGTGTTTGGAGGGACGCCCCAGCCTTTGCAGTCAAGGACTCCACCACAGTCACCGGTTTGACAGTGACCCCTACCGCTGCCATCAAAATTGCAATTGGTGCGGCCCCAGATACGTGCCATGGCCGTGCCAGCAGGCACGTTGATGGTCCAGGATTGGCCACGATCAAGGCGGCGGCCACCACCAGGGGAGGCTGCAGCCCAGACGGTGTAGGGACAGTTGTTGCGGATTTCAAAGGTGGTTGCATAGGTGGAAATGAAGAGGAGGCTAAGGAGTAGGGAGAAGATGGAGAAATTTGTTAAGTAGCTCATGGTTGATGATGGCTTTGAGCTTGGATAATTAAACATGGAGTTGGGGGGTTTTTATAGATGCAGTGGCTGCCTTTGGCTTGATGTAAATAATGGTAAATATCGCCCTACTTTAATAATATAAAGGTGCAGGCGGCTAATATTGCTTGCGTAATTGAAACGCCTCCTATTTCTATTGGCGGAGCAATAACCACAAAGTACTACTTTATTAATTTGCATACCATATAGTATTGCTTTCGGTTTTTGAGTTGGGCACATTTTTTTTATAATTTATTTTGTGTTACATAATGAATTGTAATTTTTTTTATTTTTTTATTTACTTCATTAATATGGTATAAGAGTTAAATTTAAAATATCTTATTTTTATTAAAATGAGATTGTTATTGCATTATTTAGATTGTACTTAAGTTAAGCACAAGTTAAAATATATTTAAAATACAAAAGTTGATGAAATTAATTTACAGAAAAAATTAAAATTAATTTCAATTTATTATATAATTAAAGATAAAATAAAAAATTATAGTTTGTAAATGAGATGTAATTATTTAATTTAATTTATTTTCTGCTCATGAAACGGTCTACTATATAATTTTTTTTCTTATAGGGTAATTTAAATTGTATATATGAATATGAGGTTACAGGACACTCGAAGACTGCGCCATATTATAAATTGTACATGGTCGATGCCAATCATTAATCTCTAAATCAAACCATGCCATTACCAACATAAAGAAGAAGGAGGAGGAAAAAGAAAGAAAGAAATAAAGAAAGAAAACCATACCATAAGGTTCATTACCATTACAATCTACAAATGTTACTTTTTCTTTTTTTTCTTTTTTTCTTTTTTAATTTTACATTTAATTATTGATGAGAGAAGTTAAAAAAAAAATTATTGTTTATCATGAGGTGGAGTTTTAAATGATGACTTTAATTAAAAGTACAATCAATTTAGGAACAAAAATTTACTCCCTCCTTTCAAATATTTTTTAATTAAATGAAATTACTTAATAAAAATTTGGTTAAATTCCTAATTTGATCACTTAGCTATTATATGAACATCAGATTTGATCCTTAAATTAAAAAAATTTCTAATTTGATATCTATTGTTTACTAATTTGATCCCAATTTGGTCCCAATTTGGTCATTTTCTTATAAAAATAAATGACATGTGTCATTATTAATGTGACATATGATAATTAGGTAATGGTTCTTTGTTGTTAAATAATGGATATGTCAATTATTTTTTAACGGAAAGATCAATTTAGGACTAAATTGATAAATAGTAAGATCAAATCAAGGGTTTGTATAATAATTAAAAAATTAGATTAATAATTTTTTTAATTTAGAGATCAAATTAGAAGGTTTCGTATAATAGTTGAAGGATAAATTGAGAGTTTAACCTAAAAATTTTATATGTACATAAAAAAAATTATTAGGAGGAGTCAATTACTACAAAGTAGTAAAATTTTCCGTAAAAACTGTAATAGTAATAAAATAAAAGAACTAATTTTGAACGAATTAATTAGGAAAATACTGTACATTGATTGTCAGGATAGAGTAGGAATTTTATTAAAATCGGTTTCATAATCAATCCCGACTCAAGCTTTCATCAGATATGGATCCAAGATAAGGAAA